CATTATTCGTTCCAAAGTGATTTTGGGGGAGTTCGATTCCAAATGACGCACGATTCTACTAGAAAAATGTATGACGGAATGCAAATACCTTTTAGGTTGTTGGGTTTGCGCCTACACTCCAGCTGACAAACACCGTCTTGGATGGACGAAAATAGATGTACTACCCTGAAGTTCCAATAGGTTGTTAGTCATCCGTTACGTGTAAGCAGAGCAGAGCGGACCAACGGATACTGGTGAATAAATTATACGCACATAACTTGACGGCAGCTCTCGAAATACAATTTGTAACTAAATTTTCTGCACATGGTATTTTCCAATCCAAAAACCCAAGTAAAAAATTGCTTTGAAGAAGGTAGGTTTCCGTCAGTCCATCATACTTGTGACTGTTTAGAGAGTGTAGGAGTGGTTGTGCCTTCTATTTAGTTATGCAAAGTTTTTTTCACGGAACATGATATTCGGATTTTGACGTTAGTATTAGCAAAGCACACTGAGGATTAAACTGACCGAACAAAAGCAACCGTAACAATATGGCATATTTTGAAGTTGCAACGGCTTCCGCTTGAGTGACAGTTTGAAATCTGTTTTAACCATGAGCAACGAAAACCTCAAACTCTAATGAAAACCAACCTAGTTGTAACAAATGCATGGCTCGCTTTCCCGTAACACCAATAAAATGTGTAAAAGAGAGTAAGTTTTGATAATAGCGCGCCTTTTTCTGCTCTTAAATAACCAATTCGAAATAGCTCCTATTTTTCGAATGTGGACGACCTGATTGTATGGAGGATGAGGCCTTCTATTTATTACTGGAACGAAAAAATCATCCAATATAAAGAATTTCAGATGCATCTCATACGCAGTGGAACATCGTCTTTAGTTGATGAATACATTGAGAACAACTCCTTTGTCTACATTTGCATAAACAAAGCAAAAGAATGCAAAGAATGGCGTAAGATAATTTATCACAGCCGATGTTTCTGTATTGCCCGCATGGACAAAGAAAAATTCTCCACCGGCAAATGAAAAATTCTTCATGAGCTACATTTACCAAATAAATGAAATTTTACGTGAAAACAAGGACAAACACTTCTATCTGCAAATGTTTATGGAATGTACACAGTATACTGCTATGACCAAATATTCTGAAATTGACGTATGTGACCAACCTTTAGGACAGCTGAAACGTGGATACATCAGGATTATTTGAAGGTAGCTACCTCGGTATTTAACTGAGAGTATTCGCGACCGCCAAATGAGACAAACTATGCGCAATCTCCGCGTAAAACGAGATTTCACACTGTGACGTCCAAGAATACCAAGCTTTTTTCTTTCTCGGAATTTCATCTTTCACTTGCTCTACAAAGACACTCTTTTATGGGGACATTTATCACATGGCATGGCAATAACGGTGGCGATTACGTTCGTACTTCGATTAAACTGGAGAGTGCATAAAACCACTGGGCGTTTACGTCTAGCCAGCTGATAGGTTGCAATGGAAGAATACATGCCGTACTACCTGGAAAATTTGAACGCTTCTTTGCATACGTTTCTACAACACACGATGGTTTGCTTCTAATAGATTATAACAAGAAGCTTTCAAAAGTTTATTTTTCTATTTCAATTATTATTAAAAATATCCGTGTCAGAAATAAAAACTCGCATCAGGAATATATTTTTCTGATTCATTTGTAACCCAAACAAACTGTGTGTTACTTGTTTCCCAACAAAATTTCGCTACGGAACGTAGAAGATCGTAAGTTTCAATGTTCCGCTTGAACACACAAATAAGCTGGAGTGTTCTTGCTTGATGGCCTTGTTATTACCAGCTTCGTTCACCGGAGTTCTGAGAGGACCGTAAAGTGTGAGATAGTAATCAAAACTGGAAAGGCCGAATCCTTCCTCTAGGCTGACCTGTTGAGGCAATGCAAAGTTTTGTAGCCTACGGCAAAGGAGATCAGAAAAGATGATGAGATTTCACGAACGTGTAGAAGCGCTCAAAACAAACCAATTGCTCCTGTGACAAACGTGCCCGCCTAATGGGAAATCTTAAAAATATCATATCCTGAGGTGTACCCTATATATTATCATTGTGTTTTCATTAATGTAAACCATGATATAAATCTTGCAATTATCTCGGGTTATAGCACAAAATACTTGAAATCCACCAAATAATCATACGGAACTTTTGAATCCATCATAATGAGGCTGCTCACGGAGCGACATTTTCACTTAATCAAGGGAACACAATTATGCCCACGCGAAGTGATTACTCGGAGATATAAACTTGACACTAACTAGTTCTTGTAATTTAATTGCAACCTCAAAGAGCGTGTGTGCGCCGCAATAGGCAAGTTTTTGTTTCTGTAAATGGCACTGTCTAAATATTAGGGGAATCACACACGAAAACTTGGTTGCACGCAACGCCTGTGTCTGGCTTGAAAGTAATGAGCAAAGTGTGCTCTGTTATTCACGTTACCATTTTTCTTTTTCGGTGCAGGAAGCCACTCAAATTTGAATAACCTTTACATGACATTTACATACGGAACTGCTGTGTGTTCCAGAAGTCTCCATACAAATTATAACTGGAAAGATGCCTTTGTCTCTCAAGAGGATTCGGAATAAGGCTCCACCGGTAAAGTTTTCAAACGAGAATTTTTAGTAAATTTTCTGCACGCAAACGTGCGGGCTCTAACACCAGACCACGAACACACAAGTATAAGCCTCATTGTGTAAAATGCTGGAATGCTTTTGGAGGTGGTACGACTCACCTATGATTATTTTCCGGATATTCTGCCGTATTATTGCATACGCGCTTAAGAAGTAGCATGTTAACCTTTTTCTTCCTTGCTTGCGCATAACGTGTCGCCTTCATTGCCTCTTATGTGCAACACAGCGCGTATGTTTATCAATAATTTTGTTTTGCGCTATTCGTCTGAGCTTCACTTACAGCGAATAAATGTTTGAATAAAACTCTTTTGCGCTATTAAGCTGAGCTTCACTTACGGCGAATAAATGTTTGAATAAAACCTTCCGCAAATTTGAACCACGGAAAACATCGTCTCCTTTTTTCGTTTTAATATGAAATATCTTTCTTTCAAAATCCTACCACTTATACCATATCCCTGGCTGTTTCTATTTCAACACGAAAGTCCAAGATTGTTTGACAAAAGGTTAGTTTTCGTCTCGGCTAGTAAGTGTAAAAATATTTTTTTGAAAAGAACGTGCTGTTTTGCAATTGTGTCTGGGAATTACTTATATTAAATTTTATTTGGGCCCTTATGTTTGAGCGGTTCTCTTAAATTTAGACCGGTGGGTGACTTCATTCAGACATCGTTTACTTGCATTAAAACAATTATTTATTCATCAGTGGTTGGTGTGTCAACAGATATCAGGGATAAAGCAGATTTTTCGTGCTGCCATCGCATTCGCGCTTCAATACAAGCTGTAGAATGAGAAGTACCCATCTTTCTTGTTTCGGATGGCATGAAAGCTAAGGACCGAAAATCTGTAACAGCTGGACAGGGGGATGAATATGGTTTCGGTTTGTAAACGGGAACGTGGAAAGCTAAATATGAAGAGATCAAATTGTTTCTCCCTGGTTATATCAGAAACACTTTAATTTCTGGCGAAATTGCGGTAGGGGGAAGTTTAATTGGAAACAGTTATCCACTGGTGGGTTACGCGGGAGACTCGAATCTGGTTGTGGCAGCTACTTTTTACCGTGATGCAGAAAGGCGAATGAAGAGCTCCTCGACACTGCAGGTTGTTGAAAAAACTACGGTTCATTCAACTCCTTCATTCGGAGCTGGTGGTACGCGCAATATGAACACAATTAACGTATTTTTGGACAAGACCAAGCATTAGTTGAAGATCAGCGGAACCTCTTGAAAGGACGTCTCATATGCACAGGGTACTTCAGGGTGGCATTGAGACCGAGGAATACCTGCATGCACTGGACAAGGCTGGCTTGTAAACATTTAATGATCTAGTGAAGGAGTCTGGGGATTAATCGTTAAGCCTATGGCACGCACAAGCCTAACTGTGTGTTTAATATGAATACGTTCAATCTGCGGAAGAATGTCATGACTTCTTGTTCTCATCTTGTTGTCATTCGTTAAATTTGAATTTAAGGCTTTTCACACTCATTGTTACAGAAGTGATTTTTTTCGTGTTGAATGATGACACGTTATTGCTCTTACAAAAACAAACGTGCAGCGTTCAAAACCACAAGTAAGCTAGAGCTTGCCTTTTGTTCAGACCCCTTCGACACATCTACAAAGTATGAATTGAGCTTAACAAATGTTTCGCGAACTGTTGGACACCGATAACATTATGGAACTGCGCAATGACTTACCGACAAGGAGTCCGATTGTTTTGTGTACACCTTGGATCTGACGACTGATCGTTTAGCTTGTTCCATTAAATCCACTGGACGACCAGCGCTTCATCAATGACCAGTTTCGGTCTTAGAAATTGGCGCTATATCTCCTCGCTGTTGCCAATTTTCAACTTCTCGTACGATGATTTGTTTGTGTGCTCTCCGTTCTGAATATTGTAGATTTGATTGACTTATATGTCTTAAACGGAATGACTAATTGTCTCATGAAATCAATCTGTGATATACAAGCCTAGTTCCAATTTCGTGCAAATCTTAGAGATCGATTGGGCAGATCGGAAATTAGAAGTGTCTGATCATGCTCGACGTTGAATCACAGTTTTCCAAACAATGCCTGTTTTGAAACAGCTTGTTGCAAATACTCAAGTAATGAACTTGTTGCTTCCGGACTACTCCCAAACGGTGGGCATTCCATTCAGGTATAGACAACTATTTATGATCCAATGAGAGATTGCTAAATAAAATGCTCACATTACACAACGTTACACAACAATACATTACAACAAACGTGCAGCACTAAAAACTACAAGTTAGTCTTCGAATTTCGCTTTGGAAAATGTTTATCGCCAGTTTTGCTGCTGAACTGGAATGTGTTTCCGCGTGTACTTGGGATTTGTTTGTTTAGCTCGATTTCTGATAATATGAATAAAGGCTTTTCGTCCGCAAGAGATGTGAGGCCAATAGCCAGTGTGCTTTACCAATTCCCTGTTTCATCTTTCCGCGTTTTGCTTATGTTATCTATTACCAACGACGTCCAACATAATGATTCGCATAGCTGCAGCAACCAAACCCTCATGCGCAGGTATGTTTCGATAATCTGAAATAAAATAAATGACTGGTTTTGGTCCCCATGCATTTGTGGGATATGCTCCTGCATGAAGGAAGCTTTCGTTTGCATAACATTGACTAGACTTGAAAAAGAAATTCCTCAATGAAATATATGTGGTATTTTGTGTGGTATTTTGTATGGTATTTTTTATGATGCCATATTTCCTGTGTGCATATGTATCTTGTTTATTTCAAAATGCTTGATCATTCAAATGAACTGAAGACTTTCTGCGGCTCTCTTGGTCCAAATGACTAAACAGCGCTATGTTCGTGAATTCAAAAATCATATTTCTTTCAACATTTTCTTACAATTTGTAAAACATTGACATCTAAACGGATTTGTTACCCCGGATCGAAGCCAAATTTTCAAGGCACTAACGTATGATGGAGATTACCTCTTATGTTAAGGATATGCCTGGGAGGATACATAGCATTTAATTGAGGTTCAAACGTGGTACGATAGGGGAACACTCAACTTGCTTTGGGTCAAATATCTGATGACCGCCTTCGTAGATAGTCCTTACTTTGTGTCCAGTCATGGTCCCCATTTTATCAGATACACAGATTTCTTTAAAAGTGACGAAATGTTGTGGTTGAATCAAGTGTCAGTGCCCCAGAAGCAAGTCTTTTTCTAATTGAAAATCTGTAAAGCTTATAGTGTGGGTAGCTTTTTCAGGGTAATTTATTATTGCTCTTGTACGCCGACAAACTATTTTCGTGCTGAATAGCGATCTGACGTTATTACACTACACTAGGTTCAAATGACGCCTAAACTTGTGACTCGCATGCAAGTTATGTCACTGTCAGTCTCTCCGGCTTGCCGTACGATTAAATGTTCGAAGTACAAAATTGTCGGTTAATGACGGTTCATTTCTGTGTCCTCCGTTGACGGAAGCTCGTTGGCTGGAAACCTCGTCCGGCCCCTCGAATGCGTCATGTTTTCTTTCCACCCAGTCATTCGTGTGCCACCAAGCTTTGTTTCCCATTACAGCTATACAACCCCAAAAGGCAGCAGGGAAATTGTTACATTCGGTATGAAACTGAGTTGAAACAATATCCGGACCACCATATGAGGTGTACTTCCTTGATGCATGATATAGGACTGTGAACTTTGTGCGAGTTGGCGAATAACAGAGTTCCGCCGTCTTACATTAACAACAGAAACTAAGGGAAACACGCACCAGGTTCATTAACTTATTTTAGCCGCATTCTATTTTTGTCCCAAGGCGTAATACGCATTAAGCTTAATGCCCTCCGTGGGGTTTTTGCTGCAACCCGTCTGTTCATCTCCGAGTGAACGAGTGATTGGGAAACATCCCAATGACCAGTGACTTCTTTACGGCGAGGAGCTTCATCGGTATTTCTTTACGACTGGCTGACGATAACTTATCAGGATTAATCTGCACGTATACTGTATCGTTAGGCCAATCGTTGCCTTCTTTGCATGCATCTGTAGATTTCATCGCATGTTTTTTAATGCGCAAAACAACAGGATTTTACGATATCTTACTTGTGATCTCTTATTGGTTAATCATTTTTCATATTGTAGCCTGGACCTTCCGTATGACACGGGATTCGACCATGGGGTTTTTATTCACGGTCATGCGGTAAGTGGGGCAGACCGGTCCGTGCATGCAACGTGCAATATTCTCTTGTATGCCAATTCTCCTGTCCTTCTGAATGGTCAACAAATAGGATGTTAGATGTGCCACTACTATATGCGTTCTCGCGGTACGTGCCTACTCAGATTTATTTTCAACAAAGCAACTTTTTCCTAATCATCTGGTGGAACGGGTGATAGCAACTTGCCGTTCACTTGTAGGATGGGCAAAAATCATGAAACACTTAAATCAGAATAAAACAACTCATTTCTTCCCAGAAGAAATCTGTAAGATTACGAAAACAAAAATTGGCTTCATTTCACTTTGGGCTTGTGTGGTGGGCGCAAATTACGAATTTGTACAACCTATTCGTCCAAGCATTGTTCACAAATAACTATGTCGACCACATGTTAATGACACTAGAGAAACAGTGTTGTACAAGAAACGCGATGACCAGACATGTAGAGTCTAGATTATGGACAAGCGCTTTGGTAATCCATATCTCTTATTTAGAGCAAAATTTTCAAAGTGGTTTATTTCAACCAACCGACTGTGTGAAATTACCACGAATAGATTTCCATCGTCAAACTAAATGAAAAGTTTCATGCTCGCTTTCTTATAGGATAGTAATCCTACGAGTGAAAATATAATTGAAAAGCTTATGTATAAATTAATGCGAAATCCGCATCCTCTTTTGAACAGAAGCACAGATGTGTTATTGGTGATCGTTTAATTTCCTGAGTGCACGCATTAAATTCGATTGTGTTTGTTTGCTGCGGCACATCAGCTGCTATAATGTTATGAAATATTGAGGTCCGTTTCATATTTAGTATATTCTTCACTTAGAATTAGCATACATTTGGAATTTTCAGACAGGGCACAATATGCGCTTATAAAAAATAATGTATTCTAATCGGCATTTGTTTATGCCCGTGCAAATTGTTAGCAAATTCACTCTCCCTCACGCACAACGGCAATGCTGACAGATGGATATTGTCCCAGCATCCAGGGGTCCCATTATGTGTTAAAGAAAATTGATTTCGTGATTTCTTCACTCATGGTTATGTATTCACGTTAATCCTGTTTTTGTATTTACAGAACACTGGGATATCTTTAGGCACACCTGATGCGAATGGATCCCGGTTGCTTGAAAACCAGAAGCAGTAACCTAACATTCACTTTCGGAACGCAGATTCCGTTGTTTTTTGCGTTCTCTATGCATCTTCGTCTTAACTGACACGCATTGCTTTCGTTTTCCTATTTGACAAGAACTACAGATATTTGGTGTAAACCCCAACTTTTTTTCGATAACGATGCGGTCATTTTTGTGCCTAACGCAATAAGAACAATGAAGCACTACTAAAAACAGTGGAAATTAAAAAAGCAAAACCCGGCCATACACAAAATAAGACTGAACTACTTTTATATTGCCGAATCTTCCTAATATTTTACACAGACGGATTTATTTCAAACAGTTTCTCAATTGTACCTCTACCATTATGAAAATACGCCAACAAAATAGTTCTCCACCTCAGCCGAATTTGGGCGAAAATGCAGAATTAATATCACTATTCAAATTGGCGCTAATCTTGAACACAGCAATATGACAGCGGTTAATCCAGAATGGTAACCATGAGTAAGCAAGGGTTGTGGTGCACGTTTGATGCACGCGCGTTGATTGATCGCCTTAGAAGTGTTCAATCTAAATTGCGTGTCTCCCACACCAATCACCGTTTTATTGGGCCGCATGTGGGCGGATCATTCACAGGAGCTAACAACACCATGGACACGTTGAATTCCCGGTCCACTCCTGTGGCCTCGAGACAGATACTGATCATTCGGTTATTTGGTTTGGTTAGAACACTTATTCTGTATGGTGCTATGATGCTTGCCTCATCGGTTTGACGCCCATCTTCTGCGAGGAAATCCTAAACTATTCGTCCTCAAAGCCAGGCTCTGATCCGTTGGGATCATTTTAGCACCCCGTGTTTGGCCACTGGGTAATGGATTACCACTCAACTAATCGTTGTCACCTGTTGGTTTGGCTCCGCTGCGACCATGACTCACCGCGACATGTTTGTTCATTATCAGGATGCATGAAATTTTCCTGCCAAAACGGGGTCACGAATTCAGCAGATTAAAATGCCGCTCCCGGAGAGAACAATCGGTTTCAACCGTCGTATTCTCTTTCATCGGTTAGCACATTCTACAGAAATACATATTTCACGTGTTTATCATTTGCCCGTTAAAAGCGCCTCACATGAAGGAAATAATAAGTCTCGGTGCACCTGGCGGTTTTGTCTCGCTGCATTCGTAATTCAGCTTCCGTCCGTAGACAGGGATTATGACACCAGAGCTGGCGATGTTTCCAATTTATTATTCCCTTTCCACCTTTTCAGTAATTCTTGCACCTAACAAATTGCCTGAAAAGTTTCGTACCACGGGCTCCGGCTGGTTAATTTCCACCGACATTACGAGATCCCGTTTGATGAACATCGTACTGGCATCAACCGTTTTCCTGCAGGCTTCATCTTCAGCCCCTAGTCTTGACGGTTCATTGGTTCTTTTTTCTTCGTAGGTAACAGATCGTGAATTCGTACTCTCGCGACCGAAGTATCCGTCACACGAACTTTGCGTGAGAATATTTGGTCGTTCTGATCCGCCCCACGAGTTCACGTCCGGTCTGAAAGAGAAATGCCCTTCCAGGGACATCCTCCACGTATCCACACTACGATCAAAACCAACACAACTTCGAATGTAAATAAATCGCTGCAACACACTATCTCTGTAACGGAATAGGAAAAATACCCTGGATCCCACATGACCTTTCTTCTGCATCTGAGGATTTCTCCTCCCATCCAAAAATATCCCACCCTCACAGAATTGCCATCCAAGCAAAAAATTATGTCCTTTACAAGGCTGTCTAGAAACGGAAGTACTTCGGTGCAACAATTGCATGAAACTCCTATATCCAGTGTGCTAGCCCAACAAAGCAATGCTCTTCTCAATGTTGACATTTCTTGCACCCTGTCGACAACTTGTTCCATTACCCGCAACTATGAACAAACTCACTTTGACGGTAGGCCACACACCTGTTGGAAATAAACATCGCTGCCGTAACGTGGCTCTCTCCTTCAAAGATGAGAACTATGTCGACAAGATTTTGCCAGAATATCAATAAAATTCCGGTTCACGAAGACATTTCAGCGGTCGTCTTATTATCTCGTCGATCACGCAATCAAGCGAAAATGCTGAGATGGCGCTCTCGATTGACAAAATTGTTGTACGGAAGCCTTCGAAGCTCCTGAAAAATTTCAATGACATGTCCGACCCTTCCACATATCCTGTCCATCACGATGCAAAAGACTTTACGGTTGACAGCTCTCAGCTCAAGAGCATAGTTTTGCCCCGAAACGTGCTGCTCCAGCATGATGAAACACAATCCGAAACGTGCGATGACGGAAAAGAAAATTAAAATGTGAGCAACTTTTGTCGGAGGCATGTTTCCGATTTATGTATAACCTGTTGGTGGCATACGTCAACTCAGCCATAGCAAAAGTGTATAGTTAGCCAATATCCCACCATCATGCCTTTGCGATCCCGATGGCAACCAGCTACAAGTTGAGAAATTCATAAAATAGTCGTGATCTTATAGAAGCGCGTGGTTGTTGCCATGTCGGCTTTGCAGTTTTGTTCCATTAGTTTGCTTCCATTTTAACATCACGTATTTCGTCAATCGCGTGATCGTCTTTTGTTTGAATACGAAATACTACAAAAGCGCACTTGTACAATTTCACACAATACAAACATGGTCGCCTGCAACGACTCAATCTTCCCATTTCGGTCACCATCATTTGTGCGTCTCATGTGGAAACTCTGGTGACAAATTATTTCAGACTTTCTCCGGAATCTGTAATATATGGAACTGTTCAAAAGAAGACCTCTGAGCAACATGAATGAATTATTGTTTACTAGCCGAACTGGGTGAACGACGAACTATTTCACAGAGAACAAAAATTAGGGAGTCTGTTCCATTTGACCACTTTAATAATTTAAACCCAGTCTAGCGCTTTTGCCACATTCACCTGATAATTTAACACGCTTGGCAGACAGGCCACCAAACACCTGATCGCCTTTGCCGCGGAGCTTCATGGTCAGCCACTGGTTCCTCTGCTGGAAGAAAGTAGCTGGCTTTTGCCGCTGAACTATATTGCACCGTATGCTACTGTTGGCGAGAATGGCATCTTAAATTTTACCAAAACCAGGCCTGTACGAAACAGTCCTCTCCTGATTTACGAGGACAGAATGAGGCATTCATGAGACACTCGATATGCAAGATGATTAATATTAACTGCAGTGTATCAAGTTGCATAAACAACAGGTGCAAACATCCGAGAAGTTCAGCTCCGTGGATGTGCACAGTAAGAGGTAGTAACTGCCGTCATATGTTGACGCCGATAGCGCTCGTTTGCCCCATCGTGTCATCGGCGCAACGGGATAACCTAGTGAGTTTTTTGTCAAATGCACTCAAGAAAACGAAGGTAAGTTTTGCTTATAATTTCAGTCCATATTTGTTAATTGTCGTGCGTCTTTCGAGGAATTGATGGCGAGCAAGTTATTTCTGCTGGTAAATCCGTCCTTTACTCAACGTGGTTTGCCAGTGGCAACCGGTATGCGTCCTTCTCGCAGACCGTGCGAACGGGGCTTTCGCCGTTTCCAATAATTAGCGTCTTGTTAATATTTTTTCCAATTTCGAATGAGACGTTTCTCTCTTTTCTCCCATATTCACCTGTTTCTGTTTCGCATTCATCGCTTGCATTTACTTATCATATTTGTGACCATGCTCTTCAAAACCGGATGATAGTGAAAAGATGATGTGTTGCTCAGTATTATTCAAACGAGGCCTTATAGAGTTCCGGGTGGTCAACATATTTGAACAAAACTAGGTTGGTTCTTGGTCGCCAAGGTTTGACATGAGAAATGCTTCATTTCTCCAGATCTATCGATTGTCAGTAGCAAAATTGTTCGACCACATTGAGATACGCGCAAAATCCTGGGGACAGTTTTTTTGGATGGATAAACTTTCGCAACTTTGGGGCTCAGTAGTATGACCACGCCTGCTCCTATATACCGCATAGTCAGAAGGCATCTTCTAAACAATAATGTACAAATGAGAAGAACATACTCGTGCACATGGCAGTCCTCGAATTTTGCTGGAAGCACAAGTGAGCCTCCTTTCAGGAGTGAGTGAAACTCTTTAATCTCAGGACAATTCCATCAGAAACACCTATACGCGGAGAGGTTTGTCGAACGGAGTACTCTGTGATGTTCTCATTCACTGGACAAATAACCGTCCTTTTTCCTGTTATTTCGTTACCGATTTTTAATCTCACGCGATACCAGCAAACCGTGTGAGTCATTGGTTGACAAATATTCAAATGTGACTCAGTTGAACACCCACACAGTCCCTGCCCCGTGAAGAGAAAAGACAACCAACGAAACGTTTGGTGCGTGGAACCATTGTGATCGGGCGATGTTAGATTTTCTTGGCTTCAATTGATGGAAATACGCAAACCCGCCTCAAGCTTCCAAGATTCGTGTAATGAACACATACTGCACGAGCCTCCCGGAGATAACACGTGATTCAGTGATTTCACATGAAACAGAACGGCTAATTTCATTTGCAGATGTAACGTGCACAAAAAACAGAAGAGCAAATTTACTAAACGCAACTTAGTGTGCGACAGAGGCTCCTTTTATGTGGCTCACGTTCTCTATACCTAGTGTGAATTGGCCACGTTTTTTTCATTATTACACATTTGCTTCGATCATTGACCCGTCAAAAACTGCTTTACTAGAATATACAAACAGCTTGCACAATCGTTACGTGATATTCTAAATTCAAATTATTTCAGAATTTTCAGTAATGTGATTTTGCCCCGATGAGAAATCGGCTGCACCGCAATACGTCCTCTGAATACAACACTACGTGCTGTGACCAACCATTGGGTCCGTTACTGTCATAAATATTTGGGCGCTCAAAATCAGTGAGAGTGGAATTCACCCAGCTGCTCGGGTGAACCACTGCTGACAGATAGGGGAAAATGCACAACAGTTTTGATTACGGAATGCAAATCCTCGGAAATGTATGCGGCCAAGTGACCAAATGAATTGCGCAACCTTACATTTTAACCAGCATTATAATATCCAGCAGAATTGCAATTGAACGGACGAGTAATATACAACTGGAGGTCAATACAGTCTCAGGTAGCACTTTCTGCTTCTCCGTAGAGGAAATTCTGCAAGGCTTGTGGTGAAATCCATCAGGTGCGTCTTCTCTCTTATAAGGTCTATAAGTGTTTCATGTACCTCTGGTAACTGCAGTGAAACAGCGCCAGGTGTGAATAGGGGATCAGAGTAAATTTTAAGAAAAAATATAACAGTACTGAAATTCGATGGCTGCGGACCGCCCAACGAAAAGCGCAAGCAAATCTTTAAAACAGGTCGGAGACTA